CAGCAGCTGTCTAAGTCAGACGCCCACGCAGGATCGCCAGGATTGCAAGTGGTCCACCATGCTGAACTCGTGTCTGACGCCCAGTTCCCAGCCCCTGTTCTGCGCCGGCGGCGTCTGTGGCCTGGTTCTGGAAGCCAGCGAGCTGGAACGCTGTCCGGAACCGTGTCACGTTTACACCCGATGCTCCAGCTGTCTGGAGCATGCCCATTGTGGCTGGTGCGCCCGCGAGGGACACAATGGGGACGGCATTTGCACAGAGGGTGCTTTGGAGCACAAGCAGGAGCATCCCTCGGGTTCCACCTGCGATATCATATACTCCAGCTGGCGCAATGATTCCCAGCTGACCCATGCCGATGTCGTGTCCTGGCACTATGTGTCCTGTCCGCTGGAGAACGAGTGCATCAACGGGCATCACAACTGCGATGCTGTGTCGGAGCAGTGCATCGACCTGGACACAGCGGTGGGCTACGAGTGCGTTTGCGCCGACGGCTATCGCTCGGAGCGTGGCACCTGCCTGCCGGTGTGTACTCAGGGATGCGTCCGTGGCAATTGCGTGAGTCCGGACCAGTGCCAGTGTGACTTTGGCTACGTGGGCGCCAACTGCAGCATCCAGTGTTTGTGCAACGGACACTCCAACTGCGAGTCAAGCAGCCGCCTGGACATATGTCTCGAGTGTCACAACAACACGATGGGCGAACAATGTGAGAAGTGTCAGCCGCTCTTCGTGGGCAATCCCCGCGAAGGTCATTCCTGCCAGCCATGCCTGGATTATTGCCACGGCCACAGCGATGTTTGTGTGGCCTACGATGCCGATCCGGCGGTGTTTAATATGACACGCTCAGAGCTTGAGAGGATTCTACCGGAGGGTCCTGCGCATAATGCCACGTGCCTGAGGTGCGGCAATCACACGGACGGAGACCGCTGTGACAGCTGCCTGAGGGGCTATTTCCGCGGCAGCGACGATCTGCAGAAGGAGTGCCGGCCCTGCCAGTGTCATGGCCATGGAAACGTCTGCGATCCCGTCACCGGGGAGAAGTGTAATTGCGCCAACAACACGGAAAGCGATGCCACCTGCACGGCCGGTGGCGGGAAGAACTCGGCGCAGCTCTGTTGGATGGTTCAGTGCTCCAAGTGCCGCGACTCCTATGCCGGCAATCCCACGGATGGTCATCAGTGCTACAAGCAAATCACCGTCGAATCGCGGATGTGCTTCGATGCCAAGCCCATAGGTGAGTGTTGCATGTCTCTAGTTTCCTAGATACCAACCTGCCCAATTGGGGTTATGAATTCCCAACTGGGAAGTTGGTCATTTGCACTTTAAACAAGAGAAAATGAAGGAAAGCTGAATGAAAACGTTTTGTTAACCCAGAAAAAACTCGCATAGAATTATATTTAATGACGATATCTGAAAATTGAAAACTTAGAAAAGATTTCCGAATTCAAATTAATGTTTTTTGTACTTATTAATGGATTTTTTATACCCTTGCAGGATATTATAATTTCAGTCAGAAGTTTGCAACGCAGTGAAGGAGACGTTTCCGACCCTATAAACTATATATATATTCTTGATCAGCATCAGGAATCTTTCTAGACATGTCCGGAAGAAATCGATTTTTTGGCCATTTTTGGGGTTACCATTTTACCATTTTATAAGGGGTTACATCATTAAAATTTTTGATTTTGATCAAAAAAATTGAATTTTCAAAATTTTTAATTGAAGTATGCAGATTTATTAACTGTAGAAAATCTAGCACAGAACAGTTTTCCGATTTAAAATTAATGCTCTTTTGGCCGAGTTATGATATTTTTAATTTAAAAAAATTAAGAAGTTTTTTAATATAAAAAATCCGATTTTATAATACAAAATAATATTTTTCTAAGTCAAGGAATCATTTCCGACCCCATAAACCATATATATTCTTGATCAGCATTAACATGCGAATCTTTCTAGACATGTCCGGAAGAAATCAATTTTTTGGCCATTTTTGCGAAATTTGATAAGGGGTTACATCATTAAAATTAGCAAAAATGGCCAAAAATTTTGATTTCCTAAAATTTTAAATTTGGTATGCAGTTTTTTAAAATTAATAAAAACTAACATAAAACTGCTTTCCGAATCGAAATTAATGCATTTTTGGCTTAGTTATGATATATTTTAATTGATACCTGCAAGGGTATACAAACTTTGGCTGGCCAAAGTTAGCTTTCTTTCTTGTTAAACTTTAACTTGGCTATCAGAAGATAGTTTCATTTCTCGTTTATAAAATACTTTCCTCTAAAAATTTATTAATTAATTACCCGTCTTTTTATACCACAGAGGAATGTAAATCGAAGCCAGCTGCCCTGAAGCCTGGCCAGACCGTGTTCTTTGTGATCCAACCGCGCTTTATGAACGTGGATATCCGCATCATAATAGACGTGACGCAGGGCGAGTTGGATGTTTTTATGTCGCCGCAGGATGACTCCTTTATAGTGGAAACGAATGAGACGACGGGCTACCACGAGATCTTCCTGGACAATCGCTACAATTGGGGTCCGAAGATCAAGCGAGAGAATCCGCTAAATGTGGCCTTGCCGCGCCACGACAATGCCACGATCCAGAAGCTGTTTGCTCCAGAACGTCGCATTGGTGGCGGCCTTGGAGGAGGCGGAGGTGAAAGAATCGGAGCCAATACGTACTACGTGCCGCAGTTGCAGGACTGCAAGAGTCATGGGGGTCATAACTTTATAGTGAAGGATCAGTATGCCAAGGATCTGAGTACGCATGTGACCCTCAACCACTGCAACACCCTGCTGCGCCTGTTCGGGCTAAAGAATCGCCTGGTGCTCACCCTGCCGCAGCATGCCCATAATCTGAGCGCCACACGCTTCTTTATCGCGTTGCGGGCTAGCTCGGGCCCAGAGCCCAGCTATGGGTCGGTGGTGTTCCGTCAGGATCAGCTGCACATCGATTTGTTTGTGTTCTTCTCGGTGTTCTTCTCCTGCTTTTTCCTCTTCCTTGCCGTCTGTGTGATCGTGTGGAAGGTGAAGCAGGCGGCGGACCTGAGAAGAGCTCGGCGGCAGCATGTCGTGGAGATGCTGCATTTGGCCAAGCGCCCGTTCGCCCAGATCTTTCTGGCATCGGGCAGCCTGGATGCAGACAGTCCACATCCGACCTCTTCCTCCTCCTCCTCCTCCACATCTTCGGCCCGAGCTATGCGACAGCGTGCCCGCCAGGCACTCCTTCTGCAGGAGCAAGGAGCCGGTGACTCCCATCCCATTATGATGCATCATCATCACTCGAATCGCCGCCAGAGCTCGCACATCATGCTGGTGGCCATCGAACCGACCTGCGACAACTTGGCGGCTGTTGGCACTGTTTTCATCAGCCTGCCAGGACGCTCGCGAGCTCCCTTGAGCATTGCTTTGGGATCTACACTAATTTCTTACTCCCGACAATATCCCCTTAATGCCCGGCACTTTATGCGCGCCCAGAGGGCCCAAAATGTGGCCAACAACCCGGCATAAATTTTGAATCTCTACGCAAACGCACGAACAAAATATGAATTTGTGTTTAGCCAATGACTAGGAAACCGAGCCTAGTGAGCAAGCATCTTTCAGTGCATGCATTTATGTATCGCGCACATAAAGACATTAGCCTAGATATCGAATATATATATATATATATATATGTATAGTGTAGGTAATTGTTGTATATAAACGTTTAGATAACACAAGTGTACATAACCATGTATGCCGGCATAGAGTTTACACCTATCACAAGTGGATAAACATACAGGAAAAGGATAAATATTAGAATTAAGACGGAATATTGGGTCTCGAATGAGAAAGGAAAAGCATTCACATAACTCACATATAAAACGAACAACTTTTCGGACTGATTTTTATGAAATTTCATCTCTGGCTAATGAAATATATGTGTAAATGAATATTGATTTGATCTAAGTAAGACAAGAAATAACCTAGTGAAAGGAGAAGCTCAAGATATATAGCAAACATGAATTTAAACGCGCAGTGAAATATTTTTAAGAAGGTCAATTTGAAAGCGAGTACAGCCATAAACGAACAAATAACAAAGAAATCAAGAAATACGTATTATTATAAACTATATACTAAATGTGTCATAGCAGGTTATGGTTATGTGTCCCTCTGTCGCTCGACTAGGTTTCCTTTAAGATAAATACGATATTTGCGATGTGTACGATATGTACGATATACGATATTTGATTTAAATTCTCGCGTACCTTATGTATATTCTTGTATTGTATAAAGTATTATTGATATTCCTTCCCTGTTGGTGGTTAGCATTTGCTCAATTAGTTGGTTGTCAACAGCTGCGCACTTTTACGCACACCCAAGTACCTACACACACACACACACAATATTTTAAGAACGAACAAACTATCTGTATCTGTACGTACTATCTATCCAGTTTTTCACACACACTTGTTATGTTTACACACAAAAGCAGTTGGAGGATGCTTTAAAACACGAAACTAACGAACAAAATCCTACATACTACATACTCTTTCCTATAACAACACTCAACAAACACTTACTAATCTCAGTAACCAAAAGGTTGTAACAAAATCTCACTATGTCGCTTTAGTTTAGAACTCTAACCTCCCTCCTTTTACATGTGGTACTACTTACTCTCTTTGTGTATATTTTGAGTTAACGAGATTAGCTAAATTTTTAGAACTGATGTACATTTAGAAATTATACAAAATTCGTCCCATTTTGCAATATATATTTATGATTATTATTATTTTTTTATTATTATTATATGTACTTTTGTTTGCAATAAAGATGAAATAATGATAATTAAACAAACACGATTTTTCACTAAACTTATTATTGGAAGATACTCTCTTTTTACGTGGCGTTAACCCGTTGCATATGGAGATGCCACATAATTCTTCCACCTCTTATGAAAGGACAAGTTACTTTCTTACTCCTTGAAAACAAACAACTCGGAAATATTTAAATTCATTGTGCAAACGAATAATTTTTATTGATTAAATAGTTTTAGGTGATAAATATATATATATGTATTAGATTTTAAGCAAGGGCTTAGTCGGTTAGGATCAACGATTGCATATTTTAACTAGAGCTCGTGGTTGAAGGCAGGGTTGCGAGGATCCCCTCGATGAAGGCGCCGGGCTGCTCAATGAGATGTAGAAGGCCTAAGGACAAAAAGGAAGCAGTTAATTATCAAAATATAAATAAAAAATTAGAGAAACCAACCTGCCACATCGCAGAATTCCCCAAAGGAAGTGCAGGGCAGGAACTCATCCGTCAGAGTCTTCAGAATGTTGTCCGTGGACTTCAACATAGCCTCGTCGTTTTTGCGCAGATAGTCAAACAGCGAGATTGGCCAATCCTCCTCCTTGGTCGTGCTCACCGTATTGAAGAGGTCGTTGTAGATCAAGTCCACCAGGGCCCACATCATAAGGAACGGCTTATACACACTGTAATCCTTCTCCTGACGATCCGCCGGTGACAACAAAGCCTTGCACTGCACCGACGGTGAGATGTGACGGGCCTGCGCCACCGCCAACAGCCGCTTGAGATGGGCCAGCTTGTGCTTGTTCCACAGCTCACGACTGTGCAGCGACAGGGATATGGTGGCCATGTATAGGGGACCGTCCACCTCGTAGCCACACTCCAGCCACTTCTCGCCGGGCTCCGCCTGCAAGTACGTGAGCAGCGTCTTGCTGTCCCTGGCCGCCGAGCGGGAGGAGAGCAGCAGGTAGACGGCATAGAAGAGCAGGTAGGGCACAAAGTGCATATTAGACTGGGGACCCCCGCCCCCGGCATCGTCGTGGAAGCTGCGCTCCCAGGCGAACCGCACCAGCAGCAGCTTTAGGTCATGCACGCTGCTTGTGTAGCAGATGTCGCAACGCTGGGTGCTCTCCTGCATGTAGCTGCTGTGCCGGGTCATGCAACCGGAGAAGGCTGCCTCTCCCACGGCGGGACCCCAAAGAGGCAGAAGACCATTGCACCTGGTGTTGGCATTCTGCAGACTAGCCCGCTCCCACTCGTCCCTTCCGCGAGTCAGGCGTATGGCGGATGTGTGACAGTCCACGTGGACCACATTGAAGTGGGTCACGGTGGTGTAGCCAATAGTCTTCCTCGACTTGAGCTCGAACTCCTCGACATTGCAGCGCTTGGTAAACGTATAGATGCCCAGCACCTTCTCGGGCTGGCAGGCGTAACCCTCGCGGCAAATGAAGCACGTCAGGCCGGTTTCATCGCGCAGCTTCTCGATCTTCTGCAGAATAGATCCCTTGGCCGTCACCTGACCCTTTTCGTTTGTGCGCATGCCCAAGGCATCTAGCTGCTTCTCACGCGTGGCCATGGCCAGGCGCTTCTTTTCCGCCCGGGTGAAGTCACGCACTTGTTGTACTCTCGCCGCTGTGGCCGCGTCTGTGGAAAGGGCCTCCAGGAGATTCTCGGCCAGACTACCGACGTGCTCATCACTGGAGACTTGCTCCAAGCGATGGATAATGGGTATAATGTCCTTGCTGATGGCAACCTGGGTGGCCTCGTGGTGATTTGATAGGCCGGTAAGGAAGCGGAGGATGTACTTTAGGCTCGGACGCGAAATGAATTCCTTCAGCTCATCGGAGTCGGTGCGCAGGAGTGTGGGCTTGACACAGGGAGCATGCTCGGTGATGTAGGCCAGGGATCGCTCCACGATGCCCAGGCTCACAATGTAGTCCTTGAGCGTGCCGCCGATGCAGTTGTGCTCGATTTGGTTGGTCAAAACACAGAAAAGCTCCAGCTTGAACTCTTCCTCGGGCGTGCGATCCTTGTCGAAGCGTTTGAAGCTCAAGGTGTTCTGAAAAGGAAAATTGTCTTTAGTGATAGTTTCCGTAAGGGAGAATATCAGCCACAAGTTGGTGGTCAATTTTTTCTTTTAACTATTTCCAAGGAATCTCAGGACAACTCACCCTAAAGTGTTCACAGAGCAGGGCCATTTTCACCTCGTTTCCATAAACCAAGGCAGCCAGGACACGAATGAGATGGCGCAGCACCGAGGGATTATTCCTGACGTTCGGACAATCCGTGCAGGAGATTAAAGCGGTCACGTACTCGGGTCCACCGAAGGTCAGCGAGAACTGCAAAAAGGAGTCCAGCGTATCGCTAGCCGCCTTCGAGAGTATGGTCTCCATGATCTCCAGCAGCTGCTCGGTGACCGCCGACTGTATCGAATCGTTCTCCGACTGCAGGCACATCTGCAGCACCTTGAGCAATGTGTTGATGGCTCCAATTTCGGGCTGACAGAGCACCTCCTGGCAGCGACGCACCTTCACGCATATAAGGAACAGCTTGAGCAGCACCTGGATAAGCTCTCGATTGCGCGAGATGCGCTGCAGGCTGCCGATACGGTCTAGCATCACACGAAGGCCATTGCAGTCGGCCAGGACATTGGCCATGCGGTACAGCTGCTCGGTGTCCACCTGCTCCTGGCTCTTGTTGTTCAGCGTCTCCACAAACTCCTCGGTGGCGTCGCCGAGGAGACCACGCATGCGATAGACTATCCTCATGGCATCTCGATCGCCGCCCTCGGCCAGCCACACCTTCTTGTACACATCCTTGACGGGCAGATCCAGGCTAATGATCTTGTTGTTAACCAGCAGCTCCATGCCGTTGTCGTCCTCCAGCAAGGCGATCAGTTCACAGTCAGTACAGATCTTGTTCTTGACGTCGCGCATCAGTGGCCCCAGGCCCATTTCACTCGAGGGATACGGGTTTCCCAGCATACGGCCCTGCAGGAAGTCCTCCTGCTGCGGATCCTTCTCCAGTGTCATGTAGAACTCGCTTTCATCGTGCTCCTCGGGATGGATGATTGAATACAGCCGCTCGAAGATGAACACCGGTGTCTTGATGTCATTCATTCGAGTCTTTTCCACGGTGTCGATGAGAATCTCCATAAATGCACGCGTCTCCTCCTCTGTGCCGGTGGTCATATCCTCCAGCATCTCGAGCAGCTTCTCCTGGGCATCGTCAATGAGTCGCGTGCGCTGCACCACCAGGCTCCTTAGGGCCAGATAGCTCTCGAGAACGGGTCCCAGCATGCGGGTCTTGTAGGTCCTGCGAATGTTGGGACACTCGAGGAGCAGCCACAGCAGTTCCACGTACTGACGCAGAGCGTAGCCTAGAGAGAGATCCGATGAGAGCGAGTGCTCTTCCATGCGATGAACCTTGCTTATCTCAATCGCCAGCAGCTGGGATATCTGACCCAGGACACCCTTGAGGACGAGATACTGCAGCCAAGGCTGCTCCGTGGCCATGCTCTTGTAGAGCATCAAGTACTCGGCACTGGCCTCCCCGGCCTCGCCCACATGCTTCAGAAACGAGGTGAGCATGTTCAGGGCCTGCTGCCTCCGCTCGTTGGTTCTGCTCAGACTGCTCAGCAGGGAGCAGGCCAACTGGCGTCCGAATCGGGAGTTGGCATTGAACAGCAAGGGCTGGATCCATTTGGCATTAAACACGAGCGGCTTGGTTACTCGCTGCTTGTCCAGCACTCGCTCCCGCCAGCGCTTCCCGAACTTCTCCATCAGGTAAGTGGCCCGCACCTCGCGCTTGCTCTTCGGCGGTGCTTCTGCTGGAGCTGCCTGCTCCTTGGCGTTCTTCTGCTTGGCCTGACTACTGTTCTTTGGCATCCGGCTGCACCAGGCGGCGTACTCGTGATTCCTATCCGAGTTAAGCCAGGCCCGGTAGTCCACTGTGTTGCCTTCGAGCAGCTTTATGCTACACAGATCGGCGGTGGCCACCTTCTGCTGGTTGGGCTTGCTGCTGGGCAGCAGCGGGCAGATGAGATTCTGCATAATCCTCAGGCAGGGATGCAGCACCGAAGTCACCGGGCCACGGGGCAGCCGGCAGTTGCTTATGAAAAGCTCAAAGATGACTTTAAGCTTGTATTCCCAGCACACATCGTCCTGACCGAGCAACACCTCCAGCAAGGTCATCTCCTGATGCACGGCAGCCTCCATGCTGATCAAAGGAATCGATCCCATCAGGGCATTCTTCACCCGAGCCGTTACTAACTGCAACAGATGCATGCAGGCCACAGCATTGTCCTTGGTCAGCACAACCAATAGGTTGCGCACCTCCTCCTGAATCTGTGGAGTTCCCCGGCGCAGATTGTGCTCGGCTAGTTCGCTTACCAGTCCCTGACTATACAAACCAACCCGACAGTCATAGTTGTAGGCCATAGCCCGCAAAAGGGTCAGACACTGCTCAGTGGAGGCCAGGGCACAGCCATAGCAGCGATTCGTGGTGGGAATCTCGGCTCCGGATGACGATCCGGGATTAATCGGTGGCTGGTCCTGCTGTTGGCGATCGTAGGCCACCAGTTCACTGGAAAGTTAAGTGGAGGAGAACATAAGATTAAATAAGATAAAGTAAGATGAACGATTGCAAGAGTAAGGAGCGTGTGTTCTCAGTAATCTAACATTGTAACGACATCGAATATAGACAAATCCTTTTTCGTTTTTTTTTAACCGTCACATGGTTTAACCCAAATGTATATCCTTAAATATAAACAATTCTTCATAAACGCTTTTCCCCCATAACTCACCTACGACACGCCTTGACCTTTTGCACAATCTTGCTCAGCTCCTCGAAGCTAGTGCGCGACTCCACGCAATACTTCTGGGCCAGGAGCTGGATGATCTTGTTCACCTGCGAGGTGCTGTGCACGCTGGCCATGTTGTCCTCCACAAGGCGATCGCTGCTCCTGTGCTCGGCCACCTTCTGTATGAGCAGCTCCAGCATCTGCTTGTTGGTCAGCAACTGTCGGTATATCCTGTCCGCTCTTTCCAATGAGCTGTGTATCAGCGATACCGTCTTGACCCTATCCTCGGCCGACTCGATGGGATCCACAGCACAGCAGACGCGAGCATACATGCTGAAATCGAACTTTGCATACTTGCAGAAGCCACACGAATGGCAGAGGAAGGGATCCTTCTCGTCGTAGTTAATTGCCCGACACTTGTGGCACTGGAAAACGTTTTCGCCGCAATTTCCACAGACTCCTGGATACGCGGGCACTGCTGCACTGCATCTGGGACACTGCAGATTCTCACTGGAACCGCTTACAGTCTCAAAGAAGTCCGCAAATTCGATCATCAAATTGCAGGCGGTGATCGGCAGAGGAAAATCAATCTTTAGTTCGGTTTGTGCTGACTGCAGGGACACGGAGCGAGCCTTGTGCCACAGCGCTGGGCGATTTTTCAGCTCCACCACTGCCTGGACACTGCGATTGTTGTAGTAAACATTAATGGTCCTCACCATCTTGGAGCGTTTTAGGTCGGCGATCCGCACAATCAGCTTGGAGATGGTATGGCACTGCACCAGCTTGTAGATCATTGTGGTGGTGGTGTACTTGGAGTCCGACTTGACCGACGGCAGCTTGATGTTGGCCATCGGCACCTCCGGATTGTTGCAAACCAAACACGGCTCCGATTCCAGGTAGTAGCCATTCACCTGAAGGATGGACTCCAAGGTGGTGTATATGGGCGCATTGGGATGCTTGCAGAGCAGTTCATTCTGCTGCCGGAGCACGTCCACAGCCCGCGACACGAACTCCGGCAGGCGGTCTGTAATGCTTTTGGTGCTCAGTGTTAGATAGCCCAGCAGGTCCACAAACTGAGCTGTCCTCCTGCCATAGGTGGGCACCAGGGGCCACAGATTCCAGAAGATATTCAGCAGCTTCTCACGCTGCCTCTCGTTGGCATGCTCAAAGAGTCCGTTTATAAAGGAGTGGGCCTGCCACCTTAGCTGGGTGATGTTATTCTCCAGCAGGAAGATCCTCACAAAACGGATGATCAAGGCATCGCAGGCATACCTGAAGATCTGGTGCACAAATGTGCCACACTGGGCGGGATCAAACTTGGAGTAGTAGGCATCGGTATCCTCGCTCTTCTCCCGGTCACTTCGCGCCTTGCTTGAGGACGAGGAAGAAGAGGTTGGAGGCAAAGGCTGCGGCAGTTTCGATCCATTAGCACCATTGGCGGGCAGATTGCACACAGCTGCCTGCAGCAACTGGATAATAATAGGGGAAACGCCATCGTCCAACTGGTAGCAAGCGATCTCCATCAGCATGGCCAGAGCATCCTCGTGGACAACGCAAAACTTTTGCCAATTTCCAGTGCGCATTTGGCTAATCTCCTGGCAGGTTCGCAGGTGCTCGGTGAGTTCTACCAGTGAATCGTAAGTGAGCAAAGGAGGATTGGCGTTGTATGGGGCACCAGTCTGAAGATAAATTGTGATATAAACCAATATTTATGTAAAAACAAGGCAAAAGACTCACCTTGCTGCTCACGATGTTACACACTCTCTTCACTACCCGGAAGTGAGCGTCCAGGGAGTGTCCATCGCGGTACATGCGGAATTTCTCCTTGCTGCCACAAATGTACATAAGCAGCTTCCTCACCTGCCGCCGCAGCAAGGTGTTTAGGTTGAGCATCATGTACTCGCACAGGGTGAAGGTCATGGACTCGCAGAAGCTACTGTCGTAGGTGTCCGGATGGGCGCTGCTCAGGCGTAGAATTTGATACGGCAAGCGGACAATGATCTCGGTTAGCAGTCCATCGTAGGACTCGAAGATGTCCGGGTAGTTCTTCAGGTAGTTGTGTGGTATCAGTATAGATATGTCGGGTTTGGGACCATGTTTAATCGGTTTTAGGAGCTGCACACCCGTGCCAGAAGCTCCATTGCCACTGCCGCTACTCTGAGCTGCTTGTACGGCGCTCACGCCACCACCCGCAGCATAGGGATCACCCAAAACTTTCTTCCAGTGAAGCAGCAAAGTATTAAGAGCCTCCAAGGCAAATACAAAGGCGCCGCTCTTGCTAAGCACATTCGCCGTGGTGCTGGCCACAAAGGAGGTGTTATCCTTGAACTGATGCGGCGGTGAAGTTGTGCCTGTTTGCTTTGACTTGGTCTTGCCCATCATCACGCCAAAGAGTGAGAGCAAAGCGAGACGCACTTCGTTGCCAGGGCACTTGGTTTCCATCTAATCACAAATGTATATAATTTTCAATCTTTCCTTAAAAGGATATATATATATATACTCACCCTTGAGGCCGCTCCTCGCTTGCCAATCTCCACATAGTCTACCAGGGCGCTAAGCAGCTCTTGGAGCACTTGCTGGTCCCGTTCATTGTTGCTGTTAAGATCGGTGGTCAGCATGAGTATGACCTGGATAAGGGGAATGGCCTGCAGGCCATTGCACAGATCGAAGGTGCCGAGGTGTTGTATGATGCTCTCCAGCACGGCGATTCTGCAGGCCAAGAAAAGAAGGAATATTTTACCTAAAGATGAACAGTTTAATTACTAAACTAACCTCAGATCATGTAGCTTGCTGAGCTTATCGTCCTCGTTGATCTCGTTATCCTCACTGCTGCTCATAGCACTTAGCCCAGAGGCTCCACCGGAACAGGCAGCCCCGCTGGGACCAGGCTGCTCCTGGTCATCCTTGGTGGAGCCCTGTCGCGGAGGCGAGGCATTCGCATGATCACCGAAGTTGCTGCTTCTCGCAGATGTTCCTCCAATGCTTTCCACTCCGCTGCCGCCACTCTCCGAGCCCCCACTGCCGGCTGGTTCTGCTGGCGACGTACGCAATGTTGATCCATCAGTGGCCACATTGGAGCCCTCGTCGTCATCAGATCCACCGGCGGAGACACTGGCTGTTGCTGCATTGGCTGCAGCTGCCATGACGGCTGCCTGTCGAATGCCATTGAGATTTGGCGCTCCTTCCAGGAGAGCCTGAAGAGCATTCCCGTCTCCTTCGTGTTGTTGCAGGCTCAAGGCGATGGCAATGTCCATGATGGCCTCATCGTCAGCATCCTCGGGCAGACCAAGCAGTCGGGGAAAGCCCATGAAGGCCTCTAGGTTCTCCAGCATTTGCTGCTGACCCACACCAGCGACACCTCCCTCCGCCTCGGCATTGGGGTCGGGCAAACCGCCTCCGCCGCCGCCGCTGCCTCCAACTGCAGCATCCACGGCAACGGTAGCAGCTTCTTCGATAATGTCATTGGCCGTCGAGGCTGCCACCGCTTGCAGCGCCTGCATGGCAGAGGTTGAAGGCGTTGGTGTGGAGCAGGCCGGCGGCGTAACAATGGCCACCTTTCGGCGCTTTAATCGCGGACTCAACAGCAGGATCAGCGCCTCCTTGGCACTGTGGCTTATGACACTGGCATCGTGCTTGAGCAGATCAATAAAGTACTTGGTCATACGACCAACCTGGGAGGGATCAGCCAATGCAAATCCGTACATAATCTCCACCAGGCAGTGAACAATGGTCTCCGCCTGGCACAAGCCCCGTCGCACAATATTCGTGGGTTCATCCAGCGATGGGGTGACCTTGTGCAGCTCCAGGACAAAGCTCATGATGGATGGCACAATGTCGTAGTTGTTCTCCTGGCAGATCTTGGCCAGCGACTGTGGGCGAGCGTTGGCAATGCCACTAACAAGGAGTATCAGACGGTAGAAGGCCTCCGGATCGATCTCCTGCAGAGATTCCAGTTTCTCCAGTTTCGGCTGCAGAGCCTGGAGCTCTCCGTGAACGAACTGCAATAGCACACCATCCTTGTAGCTGTGATACGACATCCGGCTGCCATAGAGGGTGGCCAGCACGTAACGGGCTTGGGTCTGGACTGGATTGGGGGTGGGCAGCAGCAGGAGGGCACTGGCCGTCTTCATGGCCTTATGACGGATGGCAGCTGGCACTCCGGAACCCAGCAGGTTCAGGGCGCAGTCCATCACCTCCAGGAGGTGATTGACCATGCGATCCAGTTGGGTGATGCAATTGAATCCCTCGCCAAAGTTGGCGCTGCTCGCCTGGGCTGAGGTCACGGCCGGCACACTTGATCCTGGGGCAGCAACTTCCTCGGATTCATCTGGCCAACCCACCAGTTCCTTAGACTTGCCATAGACCTCAATGCAATCCAGCAATGTAACATGTTGTGGGTCCTGGGACTTGGCAAAGACCACCTTGAGGATCTTGTCCGACTGGAACATCTCCTCCCGGGTCAGCGGTATGTCAAACCAGCGGGCTCGCCTCACTGGCGTGGGTATAGTGCGTTCCAGAATGGTCACCGATAGCGGTGCTCGCTGCACATCCTGGGTGCCTATCAACACCCTTATGCCCACGATGACCACATTGGGATCGTTATTGATCACCTCTAAAGTGAAGCCATTGGATCGCATGCTGGCCACAAACATGCCCGTCGAGAAAAGCCGCGTCTTTAGCTTCTGTTTGTTGTAGATCTGAAGAAGATCGTTTCCACCAAATTCCACGTCGGCCAGCATGTTGCAGTGCTCAAAGAAGTCGATGGGAAATACGGGCTGTCCACCAGCCGTCAGTTGCTTCTGCTGCTGGCTAGCCTTGCGATGGTTGGTCAGCTTGCCAGGACCAGCACTGGACTTGGGTTTAGTATTGCCACCCCCCTTGACCATCAGTGTGGAGGAGTAAAGCTGATTGCCAAAGGGCTGAACCTGCGGCGACAGCCAGTAGCTAGTGTGTTCCGGCTGTGCGGAGAAGATTCTCAGACTTCCATCCTCGCAGAGCAGCAAGAGCGTAGTCTTCTCCACTCCGGCCACGGCATGCCGTATGCCCACCACATCCATAATGCGCGACTTGGCCGACTGCGCCTTTATCTCCTGCAGGTAAATCCTTTCCGGCGTGAGCATCAATATAATCGGGTTATTCGATGTCTGCATGCTGGCATAAACCAAACCCGGATGGCCGGCCACCTCGGTCCACTGAACCAGCGGCTGGAGCGGTCCCTTCGAGGCCGATTTGCTGGCCGAATTGGTGTCCAGATGGTAGATGCCCTTCACCCCGTCATTGACATTCGTGAGCGGCGAGAAGAAGCTTCTTCCAGAAGAGTAGCTGTAGAAGAGCAGCTGCATGGTGTGGGAGTAGTAGATGGACACTCCTCCGCCACCCACCTGACCGTTGACATCCTTGATGTGCTGGTGACTCAGCTCCAAAGTATTGGTCACATAAAAGTCTCCATGGACTGCCAGACTCTGCTGATCCAACTGCTGGGTGTAAATGTATCCAGAGCTGGCAAAGCTCAGCATGTAGTACTGACCATCCTGGTACATGAACGTGCAGTCGCGGATCTTGCCCAAGGCCACCAGGTAGTAGTACTTGGGGCTGTACGAATCCACTGCCAGATCGTAGATCTTTACATAATCCGAGGTCACGAGGGCCAGAAGAGTCTGTGATCCAGGCAGCCAGACCGCCTTCTTGATGTAGTTCCCATTCTCCAGCTGGGGACTGACCACAATATGTTCGTTGGTGCTGCCGCTGCTTGAAAAGGTGAGCACATGACACTCCTTTAGGCCGCAGACGGCCAGGCAATCCTCATTGCAGGGATTGGCGGCTAAAGAGAGCACGGTGCAGGCAATGGGAGCGGAGCTCAGCTGGGTTAGGGTCAACTTCCGCTTGGAGGCATCCGCCTGCTTGAGCAGCGCCGAGAGTTGAAGGATGGTCACCTTGCCCTTCTCATGGGACACGGCCAGTTGCTGACGACGTCCGTGTGGCGAGGACAGGCAACAGAAGGCCACGCGACGCACCACACCGGAGGATATCAGGTGCTTGATGGTCTGACCCTGATCCCCCGAGTAGTTCATCCGTACGTTCTCGAAGGCACCCTCCTGGGAGCCCAGGGTGGCGAACATCAGTTGATCCGTGACCTGGAAGCTCTGCTCCAGCTGATGCAGTCGCTCCAAAGCCGCCGTTGCTCGCTTGTGACAGCCCACAATGGAATAAAGGGTGCAGTTCTCCCGGATCGAGGGCAGCAGCAAATCAAAGTACTCCAGCAGGCAGCGTACAACTAGCAGCCACTGCTCCTGATGCTGAAGGGTCTCTCGATACGGTTCCAGAAGCTTGCTTAGCACAGCGATCCTTTCGCTGTTCAGGGAATCCTTGCGTGCTGAAGGAACTTGCTGCATGGCAGGCGGGCTGCTCCGCTTCTTCCCCGCCAGGAGGCTCATATGAGATGGCAGATAGCTGGTAACTCCAGCGGAATCTCTCACCTCGCCGCTGCCAAGACGCCGGCTCAGAGCCTGACACGACCCATCCTCCTTGGCTCCGCAGTCGCAGAAGAAGTTGCCGTACTTGGCATAGCTCACATCGTGTCCCTTGTGGCAGACCCGGGCGCAGATGGAGCACACGCCCACCGTGTTGATCATGTTGCAGGTGTGGCAATGGTACCAGTGCTGGTTCATGAACTCCTTCTGCGTCTGCGAGAAGGTGCAGAGCTTATTGTTCAGCGTATCCTCGTCGGAGTCATTGTCCAGCAGCGAGTCCTGCTCTCCCCCCTCCTCAACCAACTCGTCATACAGCTCGTCCAGATCCGTCTGCAGTTCATCATCCCACGGCGGCATGTGTTGCCGGCTACCGCGATAGCCGATGCTCTGCAGGAGTTCGCTGAGGTAGCGTAGCAATGCACTGACATTCTCTGCATGCCTCAGCTGTTTGTCCGGCAGCTGCTGCTTCTCCAGCTCCAGCCACAGGACCGTGGTGTTGAACAGAGCCGCGTGACCGCGTGCAGGAATGGCGTCTGCCAAGGTAATCATTATCTGGAGTACATCCGCAAAGTCGCAAGTATCCTGGGGTGGCGATATCAAAGTCTGTCCCAGCTGCAGCAAAGCCTGGAACAGGGGTGGAGCTATCTGCGCCGCTTTGCTTTGATCCTTAACCAAGGATTTGACAAAGCTCAGCAGGAGAGCTCCATTTCGTTCGCTTCCCGACTGCTCACAGCAGGCTTGGGAGGACTCCTCCGAGGGATTTGGCTGTGCCGCCTGCCACAGGCTCAAGATCTGTGAGGTATTGGCACCACCAGCACCTCCGGCCCCGGCGCCGCTCTCTCCTCCACCTCCGCCCGCTGCCGTTCCACAGTCGTAGTCAATTTCCATGGCATCCAGCTGATCGGAGATACTGGGCATGGCGGAAACTGTTGCCATATTGGTGGGGGTCTGGGCATTACTGCTGGAGCTGCTCGAAGGCTGCATGATGCTGGTCAGCAGCCGGCAGGTGGTGTCCATGGCCTCCGATGTGCTCACTTCAGTGTTTACATTGGGCCCGTAGATAATGTGGGCCAGCCAGAGCTTTAGACGTGCCACATCCACTGTGGCCAGCTCCGAGAAGCACTCCACCAGATCGTCGTGCAGGAACTGAGAGTCTGCTTGCGTGGATTGCTGGAACAAGCGCTCCACAAACTGCAGCATCTTCCGGGCATAGCTGAGGGGCAAACTGGTGCCCGTGAAGGAGAGCAGAAGGGTGGTGAGACTGCCAGATTTCTGATCCTTAAAGAACTGCCGCATGGCCTGCACTCCCGTCGGTTTGTCCAGCATTTTAATCATGGTCTTGAGCACGGCAAACAGCATGGACTCATTGAACATGGACCGCTCCTGATCCAAAGGCGGGGATGCCGACTGTCGCAGATCGGCTGCAAATTCCTTGAGCATACGATAGCAATATCCAATCATGTGCTCATAGAGCAACAATTTCTGGGCCTCCAGGGTCAGCCCGCTGAGGATCTCCCGCAGGCACTGCTCACTCTGTCCCTGCAGATAGTCCGTGCGCATGTCCAGCATTGAGGCAATCAGCAAGCCCTTCAACTGCGACTCTATCTCCTTGTTGCCATGCGAGCAATGCGGCAGGAGAAGCTCGAATAGGTGCAGGATGGACTTGAGGCAGTGCTTCAGGGTGTGCAGCGTGGAGTAATTCGCACCGCGTGTTAGCTCTGTAATATGAGCGTCTATAACGTTCAGGGTATATGGTTCCACGGGAAACTGCTTGCCATCGAAGGCGGAATCGTTGACCATCAGACACTTGGGCCACTCGTTCGCTATTAGTTGCTTGTCCTCATTTGGCAGGAGCTTAAGGAAGGCTGCATGCAGCTCCAGCATAATGGCCGGCTTATCGCTCACAATGGGCACAATCAGATTGAGAGCCTGCTCCGGCGTCGAGCTGGACAACTGCTTCAGCATCTGGCCACGAACAATCACCGAAAGCAGGCGGTAGGAGTTCATCAGCTTGAGCATCAGCTCGTTCAATAGTTGGTTATGTTTCTGCAGATCACTTGGCAGCTCGCCCTCCTCCTCCTGCTGGGCCTTCTCCTCATCGATGGACTCGTTGGAGGAGTAAACATCGGGATCGTTGCTCGAGGCTCCAGCTCCAGTTCCAGTTCCAGTAGAGGACTGATCACTGGCCATTTCATCGGTTTCCTTGCGCGGCAGCTTTAAGCCCTCCTTGTTGGCCCAGGCCACGGCCTGCATGTGAGCCACCAGCGAATCAAACAAGATGAGATCGGATAGGCGAGGAGTACCTAACGGGGTGGATATTATTATTAATATATTGAGTCGATTTCACAGGCCGACAAAATTTTAAAAAATCGCAAAACTAAGATCCGGAATATATTCCGGTTCTTTTGTTCTACAAAACAGATTTAATTGTCTTACCATTGCCATTCATCTGCGTATTGAACGCCTCGACGCCGACTATGGTCTGCTTGAGACTATACTTTATGTCGCCCGCTATGTCGCCCACCTCCCGCCACAGCGTCTCCGAGTACTGGGTGTACATGCCCTGCTTAATCAGGCTGTTCACCACCAGATAGTGCGAACTGGCCAAGGGACAGCGTATGCTCCAGATCAACGAGTGCAAGTTGGGTGCTGGCTCAACCTTCAGCGACTCCACATGCGAGGTGGAGGGCGGCAGACCCAAAATCAGCTTCCAGGCAATGCTAAAGCAGTACTGCATTGCACACAGACTCTGCATATTCGCATCCTTGGAGCTCTCCTTGTCCTTCGCAAAGGCCGACATGTCGACAATGGCTAGAATGTCGGTGAGGGCGTCCACCAGCAGGGGATATTTGAGTTTGTCCGGAGTGCAGAGAATAAAGTTCCAAGCCAGGCCATCCAACTTGAACTCTTGTGCCCAGTAGGGCTTTTCGGGATCGGCCATGACCAGGGTGTAGAATGTGGGACGAATTGCTGGAATTAAAGGGATTAGAGAGAGGTCCATTATCAAGAATGTTTCAAGACTTACCAGATCCATATTCCCCCGCTGACTTGCGGAACTTCTCCTCGATGTCCTGACGGAAGTACGAGTTCAACTTGGTGCGGCCGTTAAGCAAATCGGTAATCTTCTGCGTTCCCGGCATACTGCTCACGCTGAAAAGATTCCAACGCACCTGATCGAGCAGTTCTGGCGGGGCGTTGTATAGGTGCTTCATCAGATACTCCAGGAACAGCAGGAGCCGCGACAGCAGCATCATCTGGCTGTTTTTCACCGGACGATCGCCGCTGATGCCGCGACACACCTCCGCGCAGCGTATTACCCCGCCTGCCGTCAGGAGCAGGATCGACTTCTTTTGCATTAGATTGAGCGAGTGGAAAAGGAAGAGCAGCAGCTGGGCATGCTCAATGTTTAGATCCTCGTACTCAGCATCACTGGCGGCCGACCAATTGCAGACTCCTTCGACGAGCGTGTTGATGAGACGATGCCACACGGACAGGCAGGCGGCTTCCTTCTCCTGCGTGGGCTTCAGCAGCAGGATTTGGACGAGCACGGAAAGGGTACTGGGGTAAACTTGCAATGGCCAGGTGTTGGTATCCGTTGACCAGGGGGAGATGGCCAAGTGCTGCAGCAGATTGGACTGCAGTTGTTCGGACAGCAGCGAAGTGGAGATCAGATTATGGATGTAGCGACCAGCAGACCCCGAAAATCGAATCATAGCCGTTTGCCACTTCGTAGTGGCTGCTGCTGAAACCGCTCCCGCATTAGCATTTCCGGCTGGAGTATTTCCCGCGCCCTGATCCCCATCATTTCGCATCACATCCCTGTCAAAATCCTTGATTATATTGGCCATGAGGAGCATTTGCTGATCGCTGACGCCAGCTTTCACGTAGCGCTGCATGTAGGCATGCTTATTGGCCAGGAATTCGTCCAAGAAGCAAAATATGTCCGCCGCCAAGTCTAGATATTCATGTGGCTCATCCAGCTTAGGGACAAGCGAACTCTTCTGCTCTCCCCCGCCCCGTTCTTGGGCGGATGTATTGGCATTGTCGTCATGGGTTTCCGGGGAGAGTGTCTCCTTGAACCAATGTCCTAGATAGCTCTCGCTGTCGTCCTCCTCGGAGTTGTCAGAGCAGGAAAGGGAGTCGTTAAAGTAGGTGGTGGAGTCCGAGTAGCTGATGGGCTCGCATTCAGCGCGATCCTTGGCAGAGGCTCGTCTCTGGGTGCAGGCCTTGCGATACGCCACCGTGGCCAGGAAGGTATACAGCTGATGCAGGGTGGCCGTGTTCAGCACTCGCACAATCCTACCCAGCGAACTGTAGCTCTGGAGGATGTCGAATTGCGCCGGCTCCGGCAGCTCAGTAGGCTCGGGACTCGGTCCGCAGGCAGACTCTATCTTTAGATCTTCAATCAGTTCCGATAGCAGCTTGATGCTGTGGTTAGCAATGGCCGCATTAAGCTCTCCAAATCCTTGCTGCACCTTGAATAGGTTGACCCTGGCTATAGGTGTACTAGGAGCTACTGCCTCGCTTCCAGACTTGGCTGCTTTCGTGGCCGATTTAGAGGAGGTGTCCGAAGAGGTACCACTTCCAGAGGCACCCATGGCCCCCTGGATGCCACTTATAAGCAGCCAGCTGCCGTAGCACAGATGATTCTGATACACATGCATCCTTGCCGACGACTCGAACAGATCTCCGATGCAGGAGTAGATCTCCAGAGCCTTGCTCACTATGCTGCAGGCCTGCTCTTCGAAGTCATCATGGTCCTTGCTACTCTGTCCAGCACTGGAGCCTCCCCCTCCGCCACCGCTTCCCTGACTGGTGGAAGCAGCACCTTGCTTCTGGGAGCTGCTGCTCGTCTGGCACATGCTCAGCACACTGGCGGTTATAGAAACCAATACGGCATTGTACAGCGCAGCGATCCCGCAACTGGACAACCGTTCAATGCGACTGGGGGTGAGCGGCTGAAGCACTATCAAGGCATGAGCCTGACTCAATATATTGAGATCGGTGAGCATGTGATTCATGCTGGATTTCACGCTGGTGGCCTCCACTTGCGTCAGTGGCAGGTAGAGCGGCTTGCCACCGTTAATGGTCTCCAGATACTTGGAACGATAGCGATTAAGTATGGGAAGACCCACACATACGTCCAGCAGGGTATCGACTCCGTTCTGCTCCTGGAAGAACTCTACATTGGCCGCCAAAAGTTGATCCTGTAAATACAGTAAAATATATGTATAAAATAATTTGGATAAGTATTCTAAATAAATGCCTCACAGTGCAGTCGGTGACCTCCTCGCTGAGCGGCACCCAAGTCATCTTTCCCGGCTCTAGAGGAGCCAGCAGTTGCTGTAGGATCACCGAGGACAGATCCGACCTCGAGCGCTTTATCTCCAGCTTGGGTGAATCCTTATCCGCGTTGCCACCCGTGCCACTGGACGAACTGCTGCTACTGCTGGGTAGGATGCTCTTGCTAGAGCTCTCTGGGTGCTTGCAGCTCTTCAGAACGGTGGCCACCGCATTGTAGTCGAACATGCCCGACGACATGGAGACGTTCTCCCTGCCCTCGCAGAGCATCTTGAGGGCCACCAGCAACCACTTGGTCTCGTACACGGAGACGCGGGGCAGCCGGTAGATGATGAAACGGATGAGCACCGCGGTAGCATCGTGCAGCTGGCAAATCTGCGTCTGGCAAACTGAAAACAAAGCAAAGGAAAAACAAATATTTTTATATACATACATAGTGTATATATAGTATATATCGTGTATCGGTGGGAGTGAATCACTCATGGGATTGGTAATTTCTTGGCCAAAGCCAAACAATGTCGCTCTTCGCTCTCCTCTCTTTCCCTAGCAAAAAATCATTGGGGGTGCTGCTGCACTTACTCGTCTTTATTTGCATAAGCTTGTCGGCCGCCAGAGCTGCAAAGGCCGTGTAAAACTGGGTGTAACTGCTTTCCTCGTCGAAAAAATCATGTTCGCTGCAAGAAAAACACGGAGAAGCATAGTAAGTTTTTGAAAATGCAGAAATTTCAAAGCTTTTTGCAGTTTTGTCGCCGGGGCGGCCATATTTAATTTTGCAAGTCACTTTTTTTCGTGCACTTTATTTTTCACTGCGCCATTGGGGGCAGTGAAAAAGTTCTGATGAAGCTCCTCTGGGCCTCTACTTACCAGCGTGTGATTGCTCTTAGCAGATTAACAACTTCGTTTTTGTTTAGGGCGCCCGTGCGGTTCTGCAGCAGGGCTTTTACCACGAAATTCCAATCAGTTCCGCCGCTGTGAGCCGACATTATTGTTAAAATATTTCAATTTGTCGGAAAGTACTCGGTCTACGCTTGCTAGTGTGACCAGATGGGATTGCTGAGAAGATACCATTCATTGGGGGGCTTCCTCTTACGAAATTAAATATATATTTGGAAATTAAAATTATAAAAAAGTCGTTATGCATTTAAGAAATTTAATATTTCAGGTTAATTAATAAAATCTGTAACAAAGACTTGTTACAATATATTTTTTTACTTTCTTAATATTGACCAAAGTGACAAAAAGCACAATGTCTAATTGTTTAAGAAAATAAATAAAAAAAAAGGTAAAAACTGCCAATAAAAATTTTATTTAAACTTTATAATATTGCGGTACCTGCTTTTAAACAAATACATCAATAAAACAAACACAATTAAATTTAAAATATTTTCCCCAAGATCTGAAGTTTGTTTCAGTGCAGTTTAAAATAACCTAACGCATGAAAAATACCGCTCCGTCGCAATAAACTGTATTCAGAATTTCGTAGGGCAACACTGGCCACCTCGCGTGCTGTTTTGTTTATAATTTTTAGCCATGCAGTTCCACTTCAAAATAGCAGACGCAGAACGGGACAGGGACAATGTGGCGGCGACCAGTAATGCTAGTCTCAACCCGCACGCCGCCCTGCAGCCCCAGCAGCCGGTGGCGCTGGTGGAGCCCAAGGACGCCCAGCACGAGATCAGACTGCAGTTAGTTGACGACATCAATGGAATCCCGAATGAAATTGACCAAATTTGCTTGCATTTTGCAGGAATATCGTGGCCACGTTCTCGGTGAACTGCGAACTGGACCTCAAGGCGATCAATTCGCGCACCAGGAACTCCGAGTACTCGCCCAAGCGCTTTCGGGGTGTGATCATGCGAATGCACGCGCCCCGCTGCACGGCTCTAATCTTCCGGACAGGCAAGATCATCTGCACTGGGGCCCGCAACGAGATCGAGGCGGATATCGGCTCCCGAAAGTTCGCCCGCATCCTGCAGAAGCTGGGTTTCCCTGTGAAATTCATGGACTACAAGCTGCAGAACATTGTGGCCACGGTCGATCTCCGTTTCCCCATCCGCCTGGAGAACCTCAATCAGTTGCACGGCCAGTTTAGCTCTTACGAGCCGGAGATGTTCCCCGGCCTGATCTATCGCATGGTCAAACCTCGGGTCGTGCTCCTGATCTTCGTCAACGGCAAGGTCGTCTTCACGGGAGCCAAGTCGCGCAAGGACATAATGGACTGCCTGGAGGCCATCTCGCCCATTCTGCTCAGTTTTCGCAAGACGTAGGAGGATTTGGTTTTTACTTTTAGTTTAGTTAGATTAGTTTAGGCCTTTGGCGAACAATTCGATTATTTATATGCGCATAAATACAATGTATTTTTGTTATATAGAGTTATTAATTAATTAATTATTAAATTCCTTAATCAAATTATTAACACAAGAACAGAGTATAATAGAAACATAAAATTTAAAATATTTCACACATATTTGTATTCAGATACATAAAATGTGGCAAATTTTACACCAGAAATGTATCTGGATTTAAAAATAATATATTCTAATACTTTACATATGTATGTATAAAAGACGAAATAACATCCACTGCATTTATAAACTATTTTCTTTCTTTGAAACCTGTCGATGGCCACAGTAGCTAGTTACTCCCTATCCTTAAATTAAGTATTATATTATAAATACGTTTATGTATAATAGTTAATAATGAATAAATAAATAAATTTCTTTGAAACCACGCTAAATAATTAAGAGATGGGGTTAATTCGTTGCAAAATAAGCAATTTTTCAAAAAATGGTTGTTCCGAAATGGCTTAATTAATTAAATACTATATAGTAAATAAAATTATATCCTAACTGTCCATAAAATCAACCGATTAAAAAATATATATTGCATTTGTTAAATGATAGGTGTACCGACTACAAAATTAGGTTTATTTGTTAAATGACTTCCCTCTTATTCTTGTAGACTTCTCTTCATTAACTTATCCTCTCTAGCTAACCGTAGAACGATGCTTGGTGTCGTATTTCTTCATAACTTAAAAAACGGTGATGTTAAGAGTCCCTATCTTCTAGGTCAGCTCAATTTCCACGTTCTAACATCTAGAACCCATATCCCTCCCATTCGTTATAAATCACAGTAGTCATAAACTTCCCAATCTTAAAACCCCTCACAAGAAAACCACTCAATACGCAATTCAAATTCAAAACTTATTCATTCGGTTGACCATATTCTGTGAGTTGCGATTGAAACACCAGATATAAACATTACTTTAGTTTATTTTCACTTTTCGTTCGTTACAAAAGAAAAACACAAGTTGTTACCTTCATACAGAGATTTCGATTTTGATTCTTATGGTAAACGAGGGGACGGACTCCAAGTTACATTCAGGCGAGTGTAAATACTCGCTCCTCTCCAGCTTCATGTACATGGCTATGTGTGATTTGTATGCAGAAGATACAAACTATTTGTGGTTGGAGTGGAGAATTGTGTAGAGGGTAAAATACGTATAAAACTTACAGACTATGCAGATTCATTTTAGTTGCATAAATAAATTGGACGGTTCATTCAACGTTTCTCGAGCTTCTCTTCGTTTAAAAATATATTCAAGAGAGAGGAGGATATAAGTATTTAAAGTAGGTATCAATTTCCATTCGATATGCAAGAGATATTTGCTAACGATTTCTAAAATCTATTAAAGGCATTTTGTGAAAGACACATTGGTTGTTTGTTGATTCGTTTCTCTCATACCCGCTCTAAGATAGGGCACAGGGTATGCTCCTCGGTTCCTCTGACTTACAAGATACATATTAGGTGGCTACATCATGTGGTCTGCTTGGTTCAGCAACTCAAATACAAATGAATTCTCGTTCAACTGCTGCTTTGTACATATTCACGATCATACAAAAAGAATAAGAGTAAAAGCCAAAATGTTGACCAGCATTTTTGGACGGAATGCAATTTCGTTGGCAAACTAAAAAAAGCTACAACTCAAAAAACACAAAAATTAAACGCGCAATAGATGAACAGAAAAAACACTAAAGATCCTAGCAATGTGTCCTGTGGATATTCCTCTTTCTATCTCTTCTATGTGAGCAGTTGCAGCATGTTTAGGACCAGATGCGTACGACTCCTTAGCAGGTAGATGAACACGCTGAAGAACAGCAGGGACATGGACATGGAGGCGCGCCAGCCCATGTTGTAAATGGAGCAATACGGGCACTGCGAGCTGCCGCACACCTCGCAAATGTTCAGCAGATATGTGGGCAAAGCATCGAATATAGATTCGTTGAAGCGCTCTGTAAATAATGTTCAAGGGGAGTTGATCTTTAAAATACATTTTTTAACTAAAAATTATTTGTCTTACCCGGCGCATAGTAGTCGTAGACCCGCACTGGCAGATAGCGTGACATATTGGCCACTGGGAACCAGCGTTCTATGGTGAAGTTTACGCAGATATCTTCTCGATCCAGCTGTGGAAATAAAAGTTGCATAAATAGATTCTTAAAACAATAAACTTGATCTTACGTAGTCAAAGTAGAAGACAATTTTGCGCTCTAGATAGCGAGCCCTTCTCAGGTTCCGCACCCGATTGCTGAGCACATAGCTGTCCAGCTTTTGCTGCTGTATCCAATAGCCAGTGGGTATGGCCACATCCAAAACGGCCATGCCTGAGCGCTCCGATTCCTGGTGGTTTATCCAGCTGGGGAAATAATAAAAGGACATTATATATATAATCTTGGTAAGATTTTTCATCCCTCAAAGATCACTTACTTTTGGCAGGCCACGTAGGAGATGTGCGACTGATTCCTGCCATGGAAGATGGCCTTGGTGTGCAGGCCAAAGGCTGGCACTGGCGGCTTGGTCTGGAACTTCTCAATGTCTACATTGTACTGGACATGCATCTGCAGAATGGCATAGCCAGCGCCCTTGGCCTGGACCTTGATGGTGCCCCAGGCATCAGGAATCTGCAAAAAATGACAAAGTTTAACAATACGAAATCTATATATCTCCACTAGGATAGATGCTTACCTCAATGCTCTGCAGTTTGGCCAAATTTGTGTCATCAATATGCAGTGTCTGGGTCTTGCCGCCCTGCGATGATGCCTCAATCTCCACTGTCAGCGAGGACACCTCGCGCAATCTCGACCGCACTGTGTACTCCACAAGAGCCTTCAAAGCCGCACTGGTATCCTGGGTGGAAGCCCACCCGCCATCGTTCAAACGTTGCGAGTTCAGCCAACGCACAATGGGATCCACAAAGAACTCGCGACGCGCCACATACACCAACAGGGCATAGGCAGTGGTCTCAATGTTCAGCGAATCATACTCGTACGGGAGGCGAGGCAGAGAGAACCACTTTTGATTCTCCAACTTGCGCGGCGGTTGCGGAATCTCCTGATTACCCCAGTACATAAAGTCACCAATGGTCCTCGCCTGCCGGCGCAGAATGGAGAAGACCTCCTCGGCGATGGGCGAATTGCAGAGCTGCAGGGCATAGGCGGTGATGGCCACATCATAGGCCTCCGCTTGGCGCTTTAGGAAGTCCATATTCCTCTCGATGTATGCCACTGCTCTCTGAGTGGCCAATGCCACTCGAGATCCCAAAGTGCCAGATATATCCTTTACTGTCGCCAAGGTGATGAGCACGTGCGAGGTCAGAGTGATGTTCTTGTCAAAGTTTGTGCGGTTCATCTTTCTGTCCGGCAGCCAGGTGACTTCGTAGAATGATCCCTGCGGCGTCTGGTGCTGCAGGAGCCAGCGCATGTTCTTCTCAATGATGGTGGCATCAATCCAGATGAAGTTCTCCCACTCGTAGAAGCTGGCCTCCTGGAACACCCGCAAGCAGTAGCTGGTCAGCCAGACAGAAGAGTCCGAGTTGTTCCAATCGGAGCGGAAGAGCGAGAAGCTTCCATCCTGCCGCATAAAGCTCAACTGGCGTTGGTAGCCAATGTTCATGTGGTAGAAGGCATTCTTCTCCAGCGTCTTGTTTCGCTGATTGATCAATCGCATGTACATAATCGTGTAGAGATTGGCGGCGAAGCTGAAGGCATTCTGTTCGCCGGACTCCATGGGCAGGTACAGCAGCGAGCTGGCATTCACGGGCATTGTGGGGAAGATGGGACCCACAACATCGCCCACCACGGATATCCTGGCGCGGTTCGAGCCGTAGACAAAATAACGATCCACCTGGTAGGGAATCTCCGGCGTTTGCGTCACATTCACGTGCATGTACTCCAGGACATAGGCGCGATTTGAGAGATCCAGGAGTACGGACTGGTGACGGTACTGCGGCAGGCCATCCGACTCCACATGGAGACGTCGGATAATGGTGTCCGTTCCCAGCAGAGTGGCTACATGCAGGGTCACATCCACATCGCCCAGCCGCTGCGGTACTACAGGCACATACACCACCGTTGTGCCTTGGGCCTCCAGGTAGATGAAGAACTGATGCTCACCAAAACTGGTCCTGGGATTGTAGGATCTAACGATGCCATCCTCCTCCACGTGCACGAACTTGTAGTCTGGACTGCCGTGAAGCACCACCGTGGCCTCGATGGGCGTGGTCATGTAGTTGAATACCGTCACACGAATACCCACCTGCTCGCCCTGCCGGCAGGCCTCCGGCATCTCCACATTGATAAAGAAGGGCTGCACGCCCACATACTCCAGAGCCTTGTTGATCATGCCGAAGCCCTTGGAAGGACTCACGCTAAAAGCACTAACCATCCAGTAAGCAGGACGATCGGGCACATCCACATTGAAGATGTATCTACCATGTGGCCCTATGTTCACATCCCGCCAGAGCCAAACGTTCTCGTAGTGGCGCAGCACGCGATTGAATCGGTACTTTCTGTAGTTCAACAGCTCTGTGTCGTTCCTCACATGGCAACCGATCTCGTCCGTGCCATCGTCGCAATCGAACAATCCGTCGCATTGCTTTTCCAGCCTATAGCAGCGCCCGCTGAGGCACTCACCGTAGCCCAGGGTGCGGTTGCAGGTGTCCTGCCTGCGGGGCACATAGCCATCGGTGAAGACTATCAACCCGCTGTACTCGAAGGTGCGATTCGCGTCTATGCCAAAGGAGGAGGCGGGGAAGTACACCAGCTCGTCCGGGTTGCCCTCGTGCGAATACCAGATGTGCTTGTACGTGCCATTGGTCTGCTCGTCAAAGTTGGACATTTTGGTGATGATTTTGGCGTAGGTGAGCTCATTGCCCGCCTGCATGGTGTAGAAGGCGCTGTCGATGCCCGAGAGGCCAACGTATGATCCCGGCTCGCCAAAGATGGCCACCTCCACCTTTTCGCCCGTCCGCGCCTTTCGATTGTTGATGTACACCGTGAAGTTGTTCCTCGAGATGCCATTCACCGGGAATGTCAGGGAGTCGGCCACAACCTGGCCCTGCTGATTGATTTTCCACACCACCAGAGTGGCAACCGGTGCCATTTCAGAGCTAAGCACCACGGCTATGGTCTTGATGCCCTCGGTGATGGTCTCACGATCATTGACCAGTATAACGCCCTTGGACATGATGAGGTAGTTGAACTCTTCCAGGTAGAAGTTCGTGCGAATGTGGAAAATGATGTATTCCCCAACCACCGGTTTCTCCGTGCTGGTGGTCACCTTGATGTGCTGGTTCCTGGGGGAGTAGTGAGACACCAGAAGTAACTCCGTTTGGATGCGTTCACCCCGCGGATCCACAAAGTTCGCCTGCAATCGCATGTTCTGTATGCCGTTCAGGAAATCCCTCGACTGCGGCCTATCGTCCAGGTTCAAGTCGTTCCTTATATCAATTTTCACCTCCCAGATGCCGTCGCTCTGCTGAGACATCTGCAACCGCTGAGCGGGCCAGTCTCTCCTGCCGCCACTGCGGCTCTCCACAAAGCCAGAGACCTCCATCAGTCCCTGGCGCAGCAGGTTGGGATCAATGGGTGAACCGTCGTGATATTCCACCGCCAAGTAGGTGGTGAAGGGCATGGCTGGCTTGAAAACCTGCGGGGACTCACCTAGGAAAGACACCCTCAAACTAGAGTTGTACACTCTGGCCACGGAGTAACCGCTAATAATCTCATCGTAGAATTTCTCGCCGACGGTGGCCGTGATCAGGATCTCCGAATTGGCCAGATGGGGCACCAGCACTTCCAGCTCTCGCAGCGGCCACTTGAAGTCAAAGGTTCCATTGAAGTAACGCAGGAAGGGCAGGGTTTTCCTATAGGTTCCCGTCCACGCTTCATAGGTATCCTGATACTCGGGCTTTCGCACCCAAAAAGGCCACTGCTCATCGAACTGGTAGTGACGCTCAACCACATACTGATTCCTGTACAGAATATCCTGCGAGAGATCCGCTCCGTCCTGCGGCAGCTGGCCGGGCACATTGTACTGCACTTGGGGATTCTGGTTGGGATTATTGTAGCGCCAGCGCTCGTTGTATCGATTGGCCTGCTCCAGAGGCGACCGTCCCAGGCGGTACTTTTCATTGAGCACTTGATTGCTAAAGTAACCAATCGGACGAATCGTGGCCTTGAGAGTGAGATTACCCCTGACGGGCAGGCCACTAGTAAAGTTGGCCATCACCCGACCATAGATGTACGGATCCGTGGTGAAGAAGTAGGCGGGCATGGTCACGTTCACCTCGAAGCGTGTCTGGTAGTATTCCTCGACGGTGAAATGGCTCTCTTCCTGCTGGCCCTGGGCAATTACACGGATGGTCCACTCACCAAAGGTGGGCTGATCCGAGAGCTTGTACTCCAGGGAAACGGAACCCAAATTGGATTGACTGGGAATTAAATAATGTTAAGTATTATTAATAGGATATTTGAAACAGTTTTAAGTAATACAGTTAATAAAATAATAAGGGGAATGTAAGGTATTTACAACAAAAACACTAAACTCACCGCGAAAGCCAACGCTTCACAATGTGCCTATTGGGATCCAGCATGTACACATCCACTGGATTATCGAAACCCTTCAGCTCTGTGGTGATGGGAATGGTCCTGAACCTCACAGTCTCGCCCTGCATGTAAAGGGGCTTATCTGTTTGCACAAAGATCGTCATGGAACGCTGAGAGAAGTCCAGTCGGGTCTCATTGAGGAAAGCCAGGCCACCGAAGACATTCTGGTAGAAGCCCTCCACTCTCAGCCTATACTTTCCAGTCACACTGGTGGGCGGTATCCTCATGAGCAATGTCTCCGGCACTCCCTCCTTGACATCCTTGGAGTCGCCGCTGATTTGGACGCCATCGCAGGCGATACTGGCATGCACGGTTATGGGATACTGGGCTTGGAGAATGGACACCGAAACCTGGTAGATTAGACCAGGCCTGACCATTCGCGATGCCACTATAAAGTAGGTGGGCTCTCGCGAGTGCAGCGACTCCAGGAAGGTGGCCTTGATATTGTACGATGACTTTCCCCTGGTCAAGCTCGGCTCCTCGTTGTCCGGATAGCCGTTCCGCTTCCCATACTCATCCTGGCTGGTAAGATCGTTGAAGCTTCCCCCCGCCAAATCGGTTCTGTAGGGCGGGCGATCGTTGGGATTCGATTGCTGACTATTCAGGTTATTGATGCCATATTGATTTGTCTGGGGATTGTTGATGTTGCCCCACTGCTGGTTGGGCAGAAGCGATTGCTGGGGATTCTGCTGCTGTTGCTGATTTGGGTTGATGTTGTAGTAGGTGTCGCTCTGACCTACCGCCGGCTGCAGAGCATCCAAAACGGCGGCTATCACGAGCAGTGCTCGCAACAAGTGCCACATCATTGCTGCTTGGCTTGCTGTGCGGAGGAGAAGTCGAGAAGTGAATGAATTAGAAGTGCTAAATGTGACTGCATCTCACATATACGAGGTGTACTATTAATAGATGGCTCTGATTTGGGTGTTCCGTGCGTAGTTCTTGATTCGTACTCAATAGGGTGGCTATGATTTTTTTTTTTTTAACTAAAAGACGTTTACTTTTATTTTATAATTGGTTTTGTTTTTAGAAGGTAAAAATGTATCTTGATTCTGAGAAGTCCTTCAAAAAAAAAATTATCCCTGGTTTTGATACATTTTAAGATAAACATAAAGCAACTTTGTACTTGCAATGAAAATAAATATATTTTTAGTACTAAATTATTTGTACTAGAAGCTCAAATTTTTTTTCCAAATATATTTCTTATCCACACACCGGAGCAATATTTGGTCATAGATGCCTTTCCGCCCAAATGATTTTCCAGATTTTCTGCATATATGCAGCTATCGACACACCCTGCTGACCAAATAATGGGCCACAGATCATGTTCGAGGATTGTTTGTGTCTTTCGTTGGTTGGTTGATTTCCGCGTGCTGCGAACAAGTCGATAATGGGGGCGCCGACATAGGTATTAATAGACCCTATGGACTCGATCTGGCAGGAGCAATGAACGTTGCCTGAGGGAGATCTAGCGGCACTTTGAAACTATGTCAAACATTAAGTAAGATGTCATTCAAGTGGGCGGCGCAATTAGTCTTGGATGGCAGGGATTTGGGAGTGGAGTTTTTTCCGCCTTAAAATCTGTTTAATGCACACGTTATTTATTGTTGATTTGAAGAGATTATGAATGCGCCGGAGCAAGAAACCACTCTGATCACTAGTTTATATATTTGGATCCTAAAATTCAGGCAATGACATGTTTATGTTTATATTTATTTCATTGTAAACAACTCTCGTTTCATTATCATTATAAATGTTGTCATTTATTTAAAACTCTATTATCAGAGACTTATATAGCAGAAATCTAATTAAAGTGGGAATTTATTGGGAGGTAGCGTAATAAGTATATTTAGAAAGATATGAATGTTTAGGTAGTATTTTAATAAAAATTTCATTTGAGCTCTACTAAGGGTGAATGCCCCTTTTTGTATTTAAATAACTATAATTATATCTTAGTTTCTTTTTGTTGCAAAATAATTTCCCACCTAAAAATATGTGCATATTTTTGGAACTTTGTCTTATCGGCACACAATCAGCAGTGAGACAAGGAATACATCATTCGCGCAAGGACCTCGAAAACCTCTCCATCCCTATCCCTGTTCCTACCTCCCGAGCGTAGGTAAAAAGTCAACAGTTTGACGCAAAACCATACAAAAAAAGGAACAGGAACCGCCACCGGCAGAACAATGAGGCACTGACTCTACGGTCTCTCCTCCACAAAGCCATAAATATGGGAAAGGAACTGGAGGTGAAATGAAATTGTAGAACGGAGGGAGTGTGTGCATTTGAAATGCATTTACCGGCAAGGAAAGGTAACACACTGGAACTGAACTGAACAGAGCACGCGAATGAAACGGCTGCTACCTGACCATGGATACACCAATACGCCTGAATTGTGTACAGTTGTGGGAAGAAAAATATATATCACTTTCATACATTATTTTTTTATTTTATTTGAAAGGGTACTCATTGTTTTCCCCTCACTTCTTTGGGGGATCTATCAATGCTATGCCAATTTGCTAAAAGTTATCGTTGCATATTTCTGAATTTATTTATATTTATCTTATAATAATCTTCACAGAAATTATATGTAGATTCCTCCTCTGTAATTCCCTCTTGGAAGATTTCATGAACCTATATTCTCAGTCGCTGCTGTACATGTGTGAGTGGGATATTCTGTGCACTGAAGCAGCAGAAGTTACTGGCCTGCCCCGAGATAGGGGTACACCTATCCCGCGTGTCTGTCCAGGTCCAGTGAAAACAAATACTGAGCGCGAAGAGAACTCGTAATAATTTCCACAGCGACTTGTAATCCACCCTTTGGACGCACACACCCACAAGTGCACACAGACACACACGCACACGACGGACACGGGCATGTAAAGTGGGCATTAATTAGCCGAGAAGACGAAGACCCATTCGAAAATAAGTTGCGAGAGGGCAAGAGTGCAATTGAAATGGCAGAAAGGACACCAGGAGCAACTGCTGCTGAAATTTGAGGAGCAACCTAACGAAGAAAGAGGATAGGACGCCGGAATCCAATTGGACAGCAGGTGGCTTTAAGCCCTCCTTTTCCTCTTCCTGCCATTTCCTTGCACATTGAGCGAGAAAGGGTTTCGCAAGGACTCGGCGGCTTTTCTCCAAACTTCACAACATCCAAACAACAGTAAAAAGTAAATAATAGCAACCCACTTTTTCGGGGGCACTTGTTAAATTTTCGGTCAACGCCCATGTGCCAACAGCAACAATAACACCCGTAAGCAGAGCTTGGGCACTTTGAGACACCACCAAACACACAACTTTTTGGGCGGGTCGCCACCTCCAGCGGCATCTCACTCACCTCACTATCTCAAATGCAATCCTTCCTCTGCTCAGCAGGCCACGCGCATTGTTTGTACAATAAAGGTAAATAAAACTAACTCGGCAACAGAAATATTCGAAAGAAAATTAAACAACACAAAACCGAACGAACACACCCGCTTGATGACTTATTTAGTGATACCGTTCGCTAAGCGATGTGAAATATATCAAAATATCAATATATCGATATATACCCTTCGCCTGAACGCTGAACGGCCTCTCTATGCCGCGTAATTCAAAGGGTATTCACGACTTTATCCATATGTTTTTTAATTGGAAACCTTCAATGAAAAACTATTTAATTTAATTTTAATAAATCAACTTTAATTTTCTTGAAATTCTTAAATTTTTTTTATATTTTTTAATTTCTATTTGTAGTTGCTATTTATTTAATTAATATTCAGCAAGAGTAAGCGTTCAAGTTCATGTTCATGTTAAAATGTCGAAATCAATCTTACACGCTAACAGAATAACAGTGTCAAATTTGTTAGTTAACATTAGTTTGGGGTCGAATTCTCGTTTTTGGTCGAATTCTCATGTAGAATGTTAAAATTCCAGAATGAGAGTAAATGACTTATTTAGTGATACCGTTCGCCAGATGAAACTTTCGGCCTAAAAAATCGGAGATTTAGTGATACCGTTGAACTGAAAATACTGAATGCCACTGAAAATACTGAATAGACTGCCTCTGTCGAAATCAATCTTACACGCTAACAGAATAACAGTGTCAAATTTGTATGGGAATGTTAGTTTGGGGTCGAATTCTCGTTTTTGGTCGAATTCTCATGTAGAATGTTAATATTCCAGAATGAGAGTAACATACGCTTGATGACTTATTTAGTAGTACCGTTTGCCAGATGAAGCTTTACCCTTCAATAACCGGAAATAAAAATGTACTACAATATCAATATCTTCTGATACTCGAACCACACCTGATACTACAATCTCTGGGAATGAAGTGGATCTGTACTTAACTAACGCGCTGTGGTTCATGTCTGCGCTGTTCTTATTGGTCCGGTCGACAAAGCAGTGCAAACCAATCGATAACACCAATTGTCAGTTTATAAAAATTTCCCCCTATATTTAAGGTTTTTTTTTTAATTGTATTGAACGAAGCAGTTACAAAACCGAGTTTTCAGAAGGAATAAAAATTAAGTTAAAGTACAAATAAGACGTTTCTTCCAAATATAATTTAAAAAATTAACAGATTTTAATATTTAGGGGAAAACTGGATTTTTTAGGGGAATATTTCAACCTTTTGACATTTTTTAGGGGAGAGCCTAATTTTCATCTGGCAACACTGGTGTTGTTGCGAGGAAAAATACAGCTCTACAGCGAGGAAAAAATCGAATTTTTGTGTTTTGTGTGCTAGGTAAATGCGAAAAAGAGTGAAAACCCGAGCAGCTTAATCCCCAGCCCGTGCGCCAGCGGTTAGTGTGTGTGCCCCCGAGGTGAAAATCGTGTGAAAATCGCCATCAAGTCAAAGGTGCTGGTTGCCCAACGCAGAAATTATGACGAAAAGCACACCAGTACCTCTCACAGTCGCATACCAACGCACGCAGGCCCACTCACACACACACACATACACATATGCTCAGACACCCGCACGCACATATACAGCCGCAGCCGAGGAGCTGGGAGAGCTAGAACCTAGAGTTGTCAACGCTGTGCGAGGAATTTCGTCATTGAGCGGTGTATATGGTGTGTGTGTGTGTTCGGTGCGTGCCTCGCTCTCGGTGTGTGTGTGCGAGAGTGCGTGCGTGTGTGTTGGTAGTTTGTTCTCTTCTTTGGTAGTAAAACACAAAAGAAAAATCATCGGGGAAAAATGTGAAAAATGTACATAATTCGTAACCCAGTCTGCGGCAAGTGCTCGCCAGCTAGTGCCCGAAAATCGTGCTGAGATGAAACACCGCGCACCGATTGAAAAACTATTACATAAATAGTGCAAAGTGTAAATGTTATTGAAGGCAAAAAAGAGCAACGAAAAAAACGCCGCGCACGCTGTCGTCATCGCTGCTAAAAAAAAGAAAGCACAAAACGAAAAGCGAAAAAAGAGGAAGAACCTCTCCCCTCTGCTCCCCAGTCCCCCAGCCCAAAAAAGAAAATTACCGAAAACGCGTTACTATTACTATGCCAAAAATTCCTTGATACCGTTACAGAGTGTGCTGCAAGTGTGTGTGTGTGTGCATGGGTGCGAGAGTGATCCCATAGTTTCTCTTATGTACATACTCCAGTGTGATGTTTGATGTACACTATACTATACGAAGAACCTTTTTTAATATTGTAAATAAACTAATAACGGTTAATGGCGAGTGGAAGAGGCGAAGGAAGTGGGTGGAAAAATAGTGCGGGTGCTGCGCCTGTGTGAGTGACCTCGTGTCCGTGTGTCGCGTGCGACGCTGGTGTTGGTGTATCAGCCAGCCAGCGAGCGCGTGTGTGCGGTGGCAAGGAGTGTCATGCGTATATTTCCCTCCCACTCTCTCCCCCCACTGGCAGGGCCTATCTGCACAAGAACAACAGTAGGGAAGAAAGCAACAAAACAACAGCGAGGCGGCAGCAGCAGCAGCTCCTTTGCTCCAACGAGTTTTATCTTGTTTTGCCGTTTTAATCATATGCGGGCGCGCAGAGCGGAGGTTAAAACGGGCAAAAGCGAGCAGGCGGAGGAGAGGAGACAATCACGTCATCCAGCCTGCCATGACACACCAACATCAACATCAATACAGTGGGGCTTTGCGCGTATGAACTGAGCTTCGATTCCAAAAACAAAACTCGTTCTTAATTGTCGTGTTTCGCTTGCTCGTTTTTCGTAACGCCAAATTTCGTGGCATACTTCGCGGATCCCACGTACAGTGGTAGCTCGATAATAAAACAATTTTGAAAGAGCTTTAAAGCAATACAAAAAGAGCAAATCTTGTGAAAAACATTTCAATATTTGACTTAAAGAAAGTATCTTTAATATTGATTTTGTTTGTATCTTTAAAATCCCTCATTTTACTCGTGTAGTTTCTAGCCTCCACTTTGTCAGACGTCTGATACTTCCAATCAGAAAAGATAATGGGATTTTATGGATTATTAACATTTAATAATGACTTCTGGAAATCCATTCATAAACGAGGTTTCTAAGCCAATTTCCATTTTAAGGCTTGAAAGAAATTCAAATTATTGTTTCGACTCTAATGCATTATTTAATGCCAACCAAAAAGTGACAAAGTTTCAAGTTTTAAGAAAACCGATGGGTTTGTTAGACTTCTGCCATCAAATCTCTACTGTACTTTCCATCAATGGCCACACCAACACCACGCATACACGCGCGCACCATAAAGTCATTTGAATGAACTTTATTGGCCAGCAATGAAGCCGTGAATTTGATTGTGATGGAGCACAAGCATATTTCTCTAAGCCTTTTAATTAGGGCAGTTAAACTGGACCTCTGCTACCGCCCGCCCCAAAGAAAAAGTGCTGCCTTTAAAACTCGGGCTTATTAATATTTGTTCATTTATTTGGAGCATCCAAAGTTCGATTTTTGGCCTCAGCTTAAAAACAGCATCGTGATGTGAGTGTGTCAGTGTGCCGCTGTTGCGGCTGCGACTGTGTGCGAGTGTGCGGGAGAGGGAGAGCAAATAAACTGAGTCATGGCTGACGATGACGTTATGCTGCTGCTCTTTCCTACTCTCGACTACATCGCTTTATTCCGCTGCTGCCTAACTTGCGGTTAGGGCAATTTGTCTCCAAAGTGTTTATGCTCAAAGTTTTCCAATAAAACGCGAAGGAACGCAAAAACTTTGGCACAAATGTCCGCAAACACACACGCAGATAGAGAATACCATAACATTTAGCATTCGATTGACCTCGAGGCCAGCAGCAAATCGATAGCATTGTTTTTTTTTCTTTCTCCTACGGAATCGATAACATGCCACTGACGCCCCCTTCTTGCCACCCGCCTTTCTCCAATAAGCGCTGCTATCGAAACTATACCTCTTGGAGAGTGAATATGATATTATTCAAGATAAATCTGGTTCTTATTCAATTTTAGTTAAAACTACATAAATTACCAGTAAAAAATAAAATATGTAGAAATGATAAGAAATCAGAAATTAATTAGGGGAGGGTTTTAAATAACTTACTAATTAGTCAAAAATTATTTTGAAACCACTAAATATCTTATTGTGTAATTCGGAAGACTTCTGGTTCAATAAGCAAAAAAAAAAAAAAAAGAGCAAACATAATAGAACAGTTATCTGTCTTACTGTCTACAGTCATATATTTATATTTTATCAATTTGCAGAGGCTTTGAAAATGGTAAATTAAATACCCATGGTCAGCATTGTCGTCACAGAAATTGACATTAGCAATTTAGTGTCCATAACTATAATCCAAGTTATTCAGATAATTAAATAGATAAGAGTCTTTTTCTGGAAATTAACACAAAATGTGTAAGAAATTTGTACAACTGTTTTAATTGTTGACATTGTCACAGAACTGTTAGAATTGTTATTGACGAACAATTTTCATGAACTGATTTTTTAGAAACAAATACAAGATACAGGTGCACATAAATTGACATTGATTTTTTCATAATTATCTAGCTCATTTTTATAGTTATTTGGCCACTAAATCCGCTAAGATTACGAACGCTTCTTTCTGCGTGCGTTACAAACACCTCCGTGAATACTATATACCCTTGATCGTTACGCTCAGCGGGTGAGCAAACAGCTGATTTCATATTTGTTCTCGCAAATTTGTAAAAATAAATACTACTGACCAATAATAAATGCGACGAGACGATTGTTCCGCTACCCCACCGGTCCGCACCGACCATGCCGAATTAGCAAAGTTCCCTGGCCGAAAAAGATGGATATATTCATGCGCGAACCGAACAGAACCGCCCGAAACCAGTGCCGCCGCAGAGGAACCGATGGATATGGATCGGATCGGAGCGTCGGATGGCTTGTTGGTCTGGGCCTCTGGGTCGGAATTCTGTGACTGGGCCGCGGACATCTGACGTCGTTGCCGTCTTGGTCGTCGTCGACGACTTTTTGCTTCATCATAATATAATATTATATCATATAGCAGCAGCAGTAGTCGCAGTGGATCAGCTCGAAACGGAACTGGGATACCAGTATTTGTTTAAAGTACTGCATTGGGGTTTATCTTAATGCGATATGAATAGAGTCGGATTCGTGGCACGTTACGGAAACATTTCAAGTGCCGTTTGTGCCCGCACGTCGTCTGCCGGTAAACAAAAAGTCAAGACTCCTCTACGAATCTCGAGTGTTGTCTATTCGGCATTTTTATGTGCCAACATTTTGGAAATTGTTGTAGCTTATATCTGCCAGCTTTAATTTTGAATCTTTAGGAATAAATTCATAATCCAAGAAATTAGATAGAATTTTTGAATACTATTACACACAGTGTTACAAGTTCATTCAAAATACTTTGGGAAAGCTCAGTGAAATTAACTAAAATATTTTAGAAAAATTTCCCGCTAAACTTCTCTCAACGCTGACTCGCCTCCTCCTTTTCCTAATCTCATTCTCTTACTCGGTGTTTGTCTTCCCGCATTGATAAGCACGAAAATAGTTCAACTGTCGCCTCATCCGCAGTAGGGAATTCTAGAAATGATAGATCAAGGCAGCACCTACTGTTATCACGCTTTATGCAGACGTCATGCAGTGAGGCAACCGGAATGTTATTTGCTTCAATCATCAACTAATTGGTCGTAATTATATTCAGGCGATCTTCATGCAGTCATAGCTGTTCAATTTCAATAAAATTTGTGGATTGAATCAGTATCTAAAGTGTCGTTTCATGCTGACTAAGTGTTTGCACTTATGATATGTTTCGGGTTCTTTATGTCCTCAATTTATGGGAAAGAATTGACAGTATATAATAGTATATAACAAAAGGATAAAATCTTAAATTACAAAAAAAATGTACTAAATTTATTCCTTTAAAAAAGTTTATAAGAATAGGATACAGAAATGTACAATGAGTTTGGTAGCTCAAACATTTTCTTTTTTTCTTTATAGGGATATCAAAACTGGGACTCTCCTATTCATAGGATTTTTATAATCTGAATATGTAAAAAGTTTCCAAACCTTTTCAAATAACTTCTAAATATAAAAGTATCTTTCGTAAAGGGGCCATAAAAGCAAGAGGATAGGGTATCTTGAAGGCCTGAAATTTCTTGAGGACTGCAGGCACTTGCTATCGCTGCGGACCCTCGCCGTCTTTCGCCATTTTGTGAAACACCCGTAATCGGCCTGGTCAAGATAACGGCTGAACTATTAAGATAAGCCCGCGACGACGAGTGTATATCAAACTGAAATCACTGTGCGTCGACGTCGTTGCCAGTTGCCATCTGCCTCTGCGGCTGCGGTCAGCGGCGACGCCGACCGAGGCAGCGACCGCGACTGTGTGGAGGCGGCTGGCTACTCTAGCCCGCTGGTCATGTGTGCGGTTCAGTCTGCTCGCTGAATTCGCTTCGTTCTGTGCTCGCTGTGTTCGCCTGTGTGCGCCTCTGTGTTCGCCTCGTTCGCTGTATTCGCCTCGATTCGCCCAATTCGCCCACTTTTGTGTTCACCGTTGTCCAACAACACCAAGTACAACAACTAGTCTTACCTTTCGGGATTAGGAACAAGAACAACAAGGACTTTTGGCTAAAAAGCATATAGAAATTGTTGCGCTCCTTGTGTAAATCATAATTATTTGCTCTTTGTGTGCCGTTCTCTCACTCCAACTCTCTGCCTTTCTCTCGCTTGTGTCTAGCCAGAAAAAAATAGTATTTTCGTCGTCAACGCGCCATAATTTTTTTTCGGTTTGGCTAGCAAAAAAAAAAACGTGAAATAGAATTTTTGGACTGGGACAAAATTTCTGGCGTGTGTGTGTGCGTGTGATTGCGCGTGTGAATGTGTATGCGGTGGGAGCTTTTCCGTCTTGTGCGTGAAAATAAAGCTGAGAAAGTTAACGGTAAATTAGCACCCCCTCCCCTTTAAGTGGCTAGCACGTGCAGTAAAAAAAGAATGAATGAGACAAAAAAAAAAAAAAAAAAAAAAAAAACATCATCAAAGAACGACGGAAAATAAAACACAAAGAGCAACAAAAATTCGAAAAAAAATTATATTTAGTTGAATGTTAAATGTTGCTTTCGTTTTGCTTTTCGGTTTTCTGTTCGCCGCCACATCCTTGATTCTGATTTTCCCTTTCTTCTGCCTCTCTCTCTTTTTGGCCCGCCGTTTCACCATCTTTTTATTTTGAAATTTATGTATTTTGAAAAGTTTTCCTTCTCTCTTCATTTTTCCTTCACTGATTTGTTGTCTTATTTTATTTGCAAAAAGCATAAAATTAAAGCGAACGAAAGACAGACACAAAACCACAGTGAAAAAAGTTGAAGAAAAAGTTTGCCTCCGAAAACGCAAAAATATAAATGCAAAAAATTAAAATTTCGTTAACATTTTATTTGCGAAGTTCTAGCTACATGAATTAAAAACCAAAAATAGAAAAAGCTGGAAAAGCTGGTTGAATAATAATAATAATAAAATCACCAAAAGGAAAATCCGAAACCGAAAAAGAAAAAGAAAACCAACCAACAACAAACGACATCAACAGCATCAACTAATATCAAATTAAATAACTAAGCCTAATAACGTATACATTTAAAGATCTATTTATAAATTAAAATTTACCATAATGATTTAGTAAGTTAAGCTTAAAGTACAAAAAAAAAAAAAGAAAAGAAAACACAACTACAACCACAACAACCAACCACAACAACACAAAGTCAACAACTAAGAAATAACAAACAACCCAACAAAAAATTTAAAAAAATCAATCATTCAACGGAGTAAAGTCAGTAAAAAAATCCATACTAAATGCAAATGACAAGGAAATAACGATAACAACACCACATAATAAACCAGCAGGAGGAGGAGCAGCAGGAGCAACAGCAACAACAACATCGGCAGCATAATTAATAACTACCAACAAACAACAACGGATCAATACCAAAGATGGAGGCAAAATTCTTGGCTAGCGCTCTTTCATTCCTCTCGATATTTTTAGCGATTCATGCTCAATCAAATGGTAAGTACAAAAGCAACAAGAAGCACACAAACCAGAGTACAATAAGCCTAATAATAATTATTATAATAATAAAAACAACGATAATAAACAAAAGAAGCCCCCTATTAACCTATAAGTTGTCCCCCCTTCACATATTTGTCTATACCCGAAAGCACCCGAGGATGAAAGGAATAAAAGCTATATAGAAAATGTATGTGCAAACTGCAGCTGTGATAGCGCAGAAATTGCAAAACAGAACAGAACCCCTGGCCGAACAAAGCAAAACAAAGCAGGAAAAACCAAAGGGAAATAAATAAAAACAGCAGATTGTATATGCGGTTTACTACAACACCCCACTGAAAGAGCCCTGGCCCGGCCCTTCTAACCTTAAACCCCACCACCTACACAAACCGGAGACGCCCCCTAATTGTTTCTCCCCTGAAAAAGAAAAATAAAAAAATACCCACATATGGGAGCGGACTTTTCTCCCCCCACCTTTTACCCATTTTCCAAGTTTACCCCCCAACACCAGCAACAATAACAGATGCAAACAGTATTGAACAAGAGGGGTTCAGGTCTCGTGACACGAGTCGATGACATCAGTGGACAATACGTTTAGCAAAAATAACACAATTAAAATAGAACAGAGAAGCTAAAAAGCTATCAAAGCTGTAAAAAATATAAAACAATTGAATTAATCCAGCAGGAAATGTGAAGGCAGCTATGAAATTGAAGTAATCGAAATGTAATTTTTAGTTAAGAACTTTCGAAAAATATATATATTTATGGATATACCGGAAAAGTTGGAGGAAATATAAGACAGGATAAATGAATTTTAGTAAATCGAAAGTTAAGTTAATTTACTTATTAAATAAGAATTCTTGGAGCTTTCTAATATTTCCTTATCTTTTAATATCCGATTTTAAAGTAATACTTTAAGATAAGAAACATTGCAATAGTTAAAAAAAGAGGAACTAAAGGAATTCAATCAACCCAAAAAAATATGTTAATCTAATTTACAATAATAATATGCATCCTTCAACTGAACCAGTTACATATTTCGCCCACGTTCTCAGCTCTGAGAGCCACGAAATGAACATTTTGCATTCCTTCTTGGCCCGGCTTTGTGCATTCTCTTTTCAACATTGCAAGCGCTCCCCTTTCTTCCGAGAAACGGCCAAAGCCTGCCCACTTTGGACGAGGTCTCTTCTGGCGCACTCTACTGTTTTGGCCTTTGGTCAAGCGGACTTGGATATTTTCGTGTTTGCTTTTTATAGTTCATATTGTTGGCTTGATGGGTTGGACCTGGGATTGTATATATCGACATTGTTGCTTATGTTTTTCCCCTGCGCGCGCCCTCATTCATTTGATTTTCAATTTTCCACACAATTGCAAAGAGAGAACGCAAAGGCAGACGACTACGACGGCGACGATGCCGAGAAGAGTATCAAGTTCATTTCTGTTTTATTTTAGAGGGGAATCGCCGCGCAATCTTTAAGAACAATTTTTTTGTTTAGCTTTAAGGCAATTTTTACATGCGGTCCAATAATTACGGCCTGTGTGTCTCTGTTTCTGTTTCTGTTTGTGCCGCATTATGTTTATATTAACTTCAGCAGCAGCCGCTGCCGGCGAACCGAAGCGAGCTAAAACGAACCGATTTTCTGATTTTCCGATTTACCGATACGTACCCGATACTTTGTTTACATTGGAAACGGCTCGGCCCTCTCCCTGGATCCCATATCGTCCAGATCTCTCTCTAGGGGTTTATCTACCGTACCCGGGCCGTGTTCCATCTATTTATTATTCTATGCATACTATCCATTTACCTATTCTACTTTATTCCATCCATCCATCCGTCCATTTGTCCGACTGTCTGTCCGTCTGGCTCACTACCAAAACCTACGTATGTTCATGAATTTTGATTTTTTTTTTTCGCTCGGTTGTTTTGTTTCGTACATTATCTGGCCCCATGCAGCTATTTTCACATTCAAGGTGTATTAATTGAGTTTTTTCTTCGCTCTGTTCATATGCTAGCATTTATTCATAGTTGATTGAGGGTATTCGTGCTATAGAGAGAGAGAGAGAGCGGGAGAGGTTTTCTGTTTAAAAGGCAGGGCATAAATAATTTAAGGTTATTTTCATGCCTTTATTAGGTTCTGTGATTGATTTATTGAATAATTTATGTTTGAGCATAAACTTAAGAGCGCTTAACTGTGTGTCGCTAAATGAAAAAAGTTTTAAAAACGCCTGTTATTCAATATCTCAAGGGTTAAGTGGATTTATTGATTATATTTCATAGTTTGTACGAGTAGCTGCTTAATTACCAGACTTTGCCCAAAATGATTGAGCAAGAAAAAGAATATCTAATAGAATTAAGTGTTTTAGGGTTTATTTTTAAAAAAGGATACATTTATGATGTTACCAATATGTGAAGTGTTGTCATTTGATCTCTATTAGCCTCCTTTTTATTTTCCCTTTTTGCACATGTATAATATTTTCATAGATTTTTCAAATTGTTTACGTAAATACGCGCATCCCAAATAAACGAACTTTCCATGCACATATACACAAATTTGTTTGGGGAAAGAGGGGAAAACTCACCTAGCCTTCAGGGACCCGTTGTGGGCGACGAGGGGCAAAACAGTTGTGGATGTATGTACATGTGTTTGCACTACATGAATCACTTTGAGTTCCTGGGGGGCAGGCAGGGCCAGCGAAAAGCCAATATTAAGAAGCATTCCTTTGTCTACCCGCTGACTTTTCCCCATGCCACTTCAAAGCAATTTTTAGCTAGTGGCGGAAAAACCACGTGTTGTCCAGGTGTTTATGCTGCGGCCGAATGTGCGAAGACGAGTCTGAATAATGTTGGCTCCTCCACCTTCTTTTTCGCCTCTGTTCCCGCTCAGAAATATTCCCTAGGTCTTGTCACATATATTCTTTTTTTTTTTGCTGGTTTTTTTTGCGGAATATTCGAGCAGGTGGAATGCCTTGGCAAGTGCTTTCATTTCGGCTGTTGACTGCGCACATTCGGCTAACCAGTTTCATTCTGCCATGTTTATTTAATGACATTTTCATTACATTAATAAATGTCAAATATTTAAATTTCGGCTCACCCAGCCAAAAAGGAAGCTAAAGCAAACAAGGAGCGTAAAACGAAACCCACGCACAGTGGCCTTAAAATGGGTGAAAACTGCAAAAGGTTTTGCTAATTTATAGCGTAAAGCATAAGTTATAAGCTGAAATAATAAATATAGTTATTTGGAAGTTGTTGTTTCTAGTTTGAGATATTAAGAACAGTTTCTTAGCAAATCGTTAAGAAATACTCGTTAGAAACATATTTTGAGATTTGCATGAAGTCTTCGAGTTGATTTATTACTATTAATTTTATAGCAAAATGCAAATATATTATTTATTCCTTTGTTACAAGATTTTTCTTTAATTCGTACACAAAACTAAAAAATGGATTTTCATGTGTTTACCGGGTTCCTTGATTTGTGCAAATATACTTCCATATCTTTTGACGGGCACTCGTGTTCTGGACATAAATCATATTTCTTTCAAAATTCCGCCCTCTGACCCCCTTTTGTAAGCTTTCAAGGGGATTTCACTTTAACTCCTTGAACTGCTACCCATAATTCAATGTGGGTTCTGCTCTGTTCCTTTTGCTTTCGGTGCATTTGCTATAAAAATACATTACAAAAGGCACAGATTGTCTTGGGTATCTGCATTTTGCATTGAATCCGAGATGATTTGTGTCGAGATACGAGGGCCAGAGGTGTGTGGGATGCGGGCTTTGTGCTGGGTGTTTTGCCTCTTTTGCGAAAACATTATTTTTATTAAGACAATAAACATGAAATGTAATTTCCCTTTCAATGTCATCGCCGTTGCCTGGCTGGCGTTGGCTTCAGCTCAGTGTTCAGTTCAGTTTGGATTCATACTGGGCTGGGGTTGCGTTGGGTGATTTTTACTGTGGAACAGGACACAAAGGGAAGGGCGTCACGTTGAAAGAAAGAAAGGCTTGGCTGGCATTTTCAGTTTTCTCTATATAGTGGCATAGTGTGGGCGTGGCATTGGCTTCCCCTGCTTTCCGATTGCACATTGTCTGGAATTCTGCGATTGCTGTGGAAAACTCGCCACGCGCTCCCTCTCTGTCTGCCCCGGCGCTTGTCGCTGGCTGTCCCTGTCTCCGTTTTCATGGTTGTGGGTACATTCTGCACTGTTCTTCTTTCTGTGCTACGGCTACTGCTCGTTCTTCTCGGTCTTCAATATACATATAGAGGTTGCCTTGTGTTTCCGGTCCGTACCAGATAATGGTTGCTTAAACAGGGCACGTCCATAAATACATATACGTCAGGCATTGTAAGTATGTCTTGTACACGGCGAAAAATCTAAGCTCAAGAAAAAGGAAGAAAACAGACCAGACCTAGTTCGTAGGAAGAAAAACCCCTGTTTGAAGGATCCTCTAAAAAGTGATCGGTACATTATACATTTCATTTGATAATTATAAAATCTGTAAAATATACACTGCCTTCTTCATGTTACTTCATTGGAAATCTTAATTTATTTAATTTGTGTTGTTACCTACTAAAAAAGTATTATACGTTTGGAATTCATTTTGAAACCTAAAAACATAATGTCATGAAAACTTGAACAAACTTATGCTTTATCACACTAAAATAAAAAATACGGTCTATTTTTCAATAGAATCAGGATGCATTTATGCATAGATAATTACAGGAACCTATTCGAATAATTTGTGTTTACAATAAAACGATGATATAATTTGTATGCTAGATTACATCTACTCGAAAATTTCATTATAATAAGCCAAAGCAGCATCCCAGCATATCTTTATCGGATACACTTGCCAATTTAATTAAGGTCTAGTGACGCAAAATTAGAATACGGCTCGGACTCTCTCTTAGTTTTATGACGCAGACTGCCCGAAACGGTCGTAAATCAAATTTTGCAACCTTGACTTTCGTCTGGCCTTCTGTTTTCCTCAGTGTATGCAAATGCGT